AGTTGAAGTCCACACATCTTCAAGTGGCCAACGTTGAGAAACACTGCCCTAGGTTCTCCTTTTTTTTTAGTTTCTGCTTAAAAACTATTAATTTTTTAGGGGGGGGCGGTCACAGAAGGTATTTCTGCAAGCATAGATGCTGTGTTTTCTGCTTCTGCTGAGTGGAGTTTGCTTCTGAGTAGACACAGAGAGGATCACGTTGGCCCTGATTGGAAATGGCTAATAAAGAGAAGATGAGGCTCTGTTTTAAGACCCTCCCTCAAGCTGACCTCCTCCATTTCAGTCACTGCGCTGGAAATTCTGGGAACTGCAGTCTCAACATGTAAGGAGGGCGCCACGTTGGAGAAGGTGGCTTGCTTAATTTATTACATTATCATTATAGTGCCAGTTCCCCTCTTTCACGTGCATTGTGTAAAAAGGGGCGGGGCTTTGATTCCACAGCTGTGGTCCCCGTCCTGACTTTTTTTATTTTCTCCCTGTGGCACATAGGACAGAGCAGGAGTGCGTCACTGGCCTGCAATTTGGGAGGGGCAGGTTATTTAGCATTTGAGGAGGAAGACCCCAAGACTAGCTATCACTGTTATGGAGTCCTTGGTGCGCTCTGAGCTTGGTGGTTTGCTTGCAGACATTTCGTTACCTGACTAGGTAACATCGTCAGTGCAAGTGAGTGTGGGGTGCTCCCTGTTCAGCCATCAATAGACTCATAGAAATAAACCGTATTTACACACCATTCAAAAGAGTCAATAAAAAAGCTAAGAAGGAAACAAAAAGACCAAAACACATCCTCTCCAGCAGCCTACAACAGATAATCAGGGATTAACACCAGACAAGCAATCAGAAAGCAACACCCTAATCAAGGAACTACCAAGGAGAAAAATCACCCCCCCCACAAAAACTGGCAGGGCAAGCTCCTGTATATAAACAGGGAGCAAACCCCATACTCACTTGCACTGATGATGTTACCTAGTTGGGTCATGAAACGTCTGCAAGCAAAAAATAATAAAGGCAGGATAAAAAAAAAATCTAAAAAAAACAACCAGCCAACCAAGCTCAGAGAGCACCAAGGACTCCACAGTTCAACCCTGAGCTACAGATATTCCCTTCTACTGGTATCAATGTTATCTCTAGAGGTCCTGTAATGCGTTTAGATATAAATATGCACCAAATGCTAAATACCATTGCAAAGGGCCAATTAACTGCACAGCCTTCCAAGCACTCACTGAACAGTTTTCTTATTCCCTCCCTCATCTGCTCGAAGCCAGCCCTGATTGGCCAGGAAGGGTCTTCTCTTTGTTCATGGACCCAGCTGTCATTAAACAGCTGCCCCAAAAGTCAAATGAATGCTGGAGGGTTCCCCCCATCAAAGTACTCTGATATTTCTTGAATAACTCAAGGATGCGAACACACAGACATGATTGGCTCTTGTTCCTGTCATAGCTCTTCCTCCCAGCTGAAAAATCTCCCCCAATTGTTGCTGCTTCAAGCCGTGTTTGGCCCAGCCAGCTCACCCTTTGCTTTTCTTGCTCCTCAGGTACCGAGTAGAGTATCAAACGCTGTGCAAAATAGAAGCGGACCAGAATGAATTCATTGACCAGTTTATCTTCCAGAAGTAGAGCAAGAATTGAGGGCAGCCAACAGACCAAGAGAACTTGAACCATTCCCGTTGTTCCAGAACAGACAATTTGCACATGCTGTGGAAGCATTGACCAAGGACACACCCTGCAAGGTCCCCCCCCCCCCAGTCCAGCGAGTTTTCATCGACCCCAAGCAACCTGCCTTGTGGTTGGGGTTGATGGAAGACCATGGTCTGCAGGTTCCCTGGGAAGATCATTGCAGTTGGATGTATTTCCAAAGGATGAAAAGAGAGGAGCAACTCTTGTATTTAAGTCTTTTTTAGCAGCTGTTTCTAATCAAAGTTTCACCCCCCCCAGACTGGATTTCTCACTGAGTTTATGCAGCTTCCCCCCTTTTTAACAAAATAAAAAATGACATACTTTTAAGGAATTCAGTGGACCATCCTTTGAAATGACAGGTGACCTGTTGGTTCAAACTGCACTTGCAACAAGCCGATGCTGGGCAGAGAGAAGAAGGTAGCATGCCAGAAACACTTTTGTTATGAAATGGAGGTTTGTATACCTGTCCAAACCATCTTACCACCAGGGTAGAAAGGTAGGGCCTTGCCAGTTGTTACTTTCCTGCTGCGGGTTATAATGAAACAGTTGTACAGCCAACTTTCACTCCAGCTGCACAAGTCAGCCACCAATGTGTGTCTAATTGCAGTTGCTTGTGGACCAACAGTGGTTGCAGAGAGATCCTATCCAGCGTAAGGAAGTGGGCTACCAGGGCTACGAATTCCTATCTATACCAGCCAGGTTGATGGGCTAAAGGAGTTGGAATCCACACCCAGAGCCGGCATGGATGAACCCTGGCTGGCCTGGGGGAGAAGCAGCTGATGGTTGCAGGGGGCCCTGCAGTGGCGATGCAAAGGCAGAGGGTCCTTCTCAGGCCAGATCATCCCCCCCCCCCCCCCCCC